TTATTTTAATTTCTACTTCCTGTGAATTTTTGAATGAAATGTACACAATTAAATGCAAAATTTATGCATGCAAACACTTTTTGTCAATTTGTACATGAAACGTAGGAAGAGGTCTAAAGCTTTATGTATGGAGATTCAGGAAAGGGACACCTATGATCAGTCGTATTCCTTATTTTAATTCCTAAGTTTATCATAAAAGTTACTCCTCCATTTAGTTATTTGAACTCCTGGTGGGAACCAGTGAAACAGATAATCCAAAACAGTGGATAATCCAAAAATGTCATTTATACTTGGCTTCAGAATATACTACCAGATGTTGCTCTAGCAGATTTCCCTTCCTAATTAGGTCTCACTTAAAGTAGAAGTTAATTTTGTCTTCATTAGCTGTTTCCAAATCAGCAGGATGGGGCAAGGAGGAAGCCCAGAGCATGCTGGGTATTTGGAGGAAGCTGGCCTTCAGCTATGATTTGGTGGTAGATCGTGCGCAAAGAATGAAGTTCAGATGTGGGTAATCAAGTTGACGGACATATAAAATGAAAATATTTATGAGCACTGTCTCGAAGTGTTCTCAGGCTTTCTCAAATGTTTTATTTATCCTATTAATAATGAGTGGAAAGAATTCCAAAAGTGAATTAGGCAAAAATATCATGAAATTTGTATAGAAAAAAATAGAGGCTAAGTGATTTCTTACACGGATCGATCTCTCAGTAAACAGTATCTAAGAAATTGAAACTGATTAATGAATGATAAGAAGACCCTCTGTTTCCTTCTTATTGATGATTTGAATAATGAGGAAACAAGAATTCTCCTGGCCTAATTCACATTAAGAGAGCTAAGATAATGAAGCTGTGATTAAATGGCTATTAAACTATTTTTATCAAACAGAGATCAAGCGAGTGTGAGAATCTGGGGATGCAGAGTGTAATTGCAATTCTACAAGATGAAAAAAAAATTACTATCATAAGCAGGGCATGGTCCTTCCATAATAGCTTGCATTTAGAAGTCTTTGGGATACCACATGCAGGCTTCACTCTATGGTTCTTCCCCTGGGTGTCTCTTAGCACCCTGTTAGAGGCCCTCTTCTCCTTGAGTTAGTGGATTCATTCACCCTCTGGAGTATGCAGTTGGGTGAGCTCACAATACTATCTTCCCCATTTCATTTAACCAATCAGAAGATCTTTTTGTCAACAGCTCACAAAGATGGAAAGGGCCAGGTGCCATATAGCTGGCCCAGAATTTCAATATGGAGGTGACCCCTGGGTACAGTAAGGGCCACAGTCTACCTGTGCCATTTGAATTATGTCAGACTTAGTAGTCTACATAGGGACACAGCAATCCCAAAGGGCAGCGACACCTCCAAATGAATTATTCTAAAATATCTTTTATTAAAAGTGTAGCATAGTTTAGAAATTTGGGGTTGTTGGAACAAATGTCTGTATTTTATCTGTTCCTGGGAATTCTTTACACCTGGAATGCGGTTTTGTAGATGTATCTTTTCTCTTCCTGGAGAGACCGTGGAGACTGAAGTTTTTCTGGCACACAGAAAAACTTTATTTTGTCACAGAATTATTTATGTGACAAAATAGTAGCAGAATCCCATTATGTGGTGATAACCCAAGGTTGTTAGCCCCCCAGGACCACCACCACCACAACCATAGGAAATGTTGCTTGGTAGGGAAGCAGCTCCACTGTAGAAATACCGGTTGACTGGTCTTTGTTTTACCTTCTCCCACATCCAAGACAGAACTTAATTTGTGTAGCTCCCTGCAGATCCCTTTCTTCTCTTTACTCTAAACCTCTCGGCTTTGCTTTCTTTTCTTTCTTCCTTCTTTTTAACCATAGATGGTTATAGGAAGTATATTCTTGTAAAATACTAATTCCAACAATTGAAGAACAGTATCTGAGCCCGGTCTTTGAAAGGTTATCTTGCAGTGTCATTTTACTGACTAACAATGTATCACCATACCTCGTTACTTGTGAATAGATATGTGTTCATAGGCCAGTGTACTTCATCTGCGGCAAGTTTGATTTATTTGCTCTATAAATTAGGATCAAAGCAATAATGGAAAGTGACATTAATTGTTTAACAGGCTCTTCTTTGTCACATCCATTGCCTTCTATGGGGCATGTGATTGTTGAAACGCATATGAAACGAATCGAAATTGCTGTAGTGAGAGGTAGTGTCCACTCAACTCTATATTTAGAAATCTTTGTTGAGCTTTGATGCAAAAGTGTCATCAGTAAATATCAAGCTTTCTTCCCAAACTTCCATGATTAATAAAACACAAAATATTTCAAATAATAGCAGATTTTTTCCATAATTCAAGAACTTCACTAAAATCAATTATCTTTTAGCGCTTTTCTGAGTTATTCACATAAAGAATGAAACTAAAAATTTTAATAATCGTTTTAAGTGTACACTGTAAGTAGTGAATACAGTTCTACTGATACAAGCTGGTTGAATACCGTCTCTCCATGCACACACAGACACAGACGCACAAACACAATACCAGTTTTCTATCCCACAAATACTCCCGTTCCACTGTTCTAGTAGAAAGGAGAATTAAAGTGGTTGGTGGCTTAATCAGATCTTGTAAATTAATTATGACATTATCAAGCTCCAATATTTCTGCCATTGTATTTGGTATATATTCACTCAGGCTTATTAAAGAAATTGGATAAAACTAGTGTTTAAGTGTTCTTTGTCATTTTGACTTGATTGGAATTGTCTTAGTCTGTTGACACAAGGGATAGAGCTAAGGCGCTATTGTGTTATGTGATTTAAAGCAAATAGCGGCTTTTACTATTGCTGGAAAGCCAAACACAAAATTTAAATCAGGGTAAACAAAATTACTCATTTATTGGTAAACATTCATAACTATTTTTCTTGAGCTGTTTTTAAACCTCAGTGAAAGAAGCCTTTTTGAAAAATTAGTTACCTGGAAAAATGTTCAACTTACTGAAAGTACATATGTGCTCATGTGTAGGTATTTGAAATATTTTCAAAGATTATTTTATTGAAGAATATGATGATATTTATTGTAATGCAGGTCTCATGATTTTGAGACGATTTTAAAAGGTATCCACATTTCATTGAAATACAATTTTATTCAGAAGACATTAATAATCCGAATTAACTGTGTTTTTGACATGTAGGGGAACTCAAAGAGCGGGTGGCTGGAATTTTTGGATTCCAGATTATGACCCTGAGCAGAAAATAAGAGAAACTCTTTTTACTCTTGTCATTAGGATTCCATGGATAGGGTTCAGAAGAATTGAGGCTTGGAGATATTCAATAGGCTTTTGTTACTGAATTGTACTGTTTAGAATTTAATGAAGTAGTCTGCGTCCAGAAGCAAGTGTGCCATTTTGAAATGAACAGCTCCCACTTTGGATCAGGGTTCACCTCTTTATTAGTCTGTACCTTCGTCCCCTCGTCATGCCACATGTGCTCCGTGTAGTTTTCTTGGGATCTCATATCAGAGGCAATCGGGAGAGAGTTATGCAAATGTACAAAATGCCAGTCCACTGTTGGTCAGTACAAATGGCCCTTCTTGGCCTCTTGAATCACAAAGAAAAAGAAGTCTCTCGTTTTATTCCTGCATAGAGACTGATCAGTAATGAGGGAGACAGTTTTTGTGTGGAAGTAGGATGTATACGTGATAAAGCCCTGCCTAATTTCTCTAGTAATACAATTTGATTTTCTGATTAGCTGTCTTATTCTGTGATTCTTGTAATTTTGTCAGGTCAATTAACTGGAGTTCAGTGCTAGAGAGAAAGGCAGTGTGGGCACTGCTGGATTCATTAGATGTCAGCAGCTTAGGTGCATTTTGTAATAGAATCTGCGTGGGATAATTTAGCCCGTATTGTTAATGTCATAGCATGCAGAACTTAAAAAAAAAAAACAAAAAAAAAAAACAGAATTTTGAAGCAGGTCAAATTGGGCAAACAATGTGAAATGCTAAAATAAGGAAAAGCAGTCTGCAAGGTATACATTGTTGGCAGTAAATGCAGATCAATTACTCATCAAATAGTCATTGACTATCTATCTATACTGTGTAACAAACATTGGCATTGACTGTATGGGTGCCTAAGCTTTAGTTTAGGAGTCTTTGAGTGTTCCTGTAGAGTACTGAGCATAGTATTTTTTATAACGAATTTTTTACAGGTTCTTTCTTTCTACCAGGGGGTTATTGGAGGGATAGAGTTTTGTCTTATATCTTTTTGTATAACCAACCTTTGATGATATTGGCATGGAGGAAGTTCCAGAGTTTCTGAAAAAAATGTTAGTCAAACTAAAGAATTCAAGAGAAGCAGCAGTTTTGTTGTGAGATCCAAAGTTTAGGTTTTGGAGATGAGGGAGGTATTATAAAGTAGAAATGTCTAATAGGCAAGTATAGAGATTTATAGAGAGTATAAAGGTTGGAAGAGGTGTCAGGAACAGAAATAAATGATCTTGGAGTCTTCAATAATGAGATTATAATTGAATTCATGAAAGTATTCAGATTCCCTAAGTTTCTGGTTGTATTCCAATGGAAGGTTATCTAAATATTTTAGGGAGTATGTTGTACAGGAGACCTAAACACTGTATATGAAGAGTAAGAGTTGATTAAGATTCCTTCAAGCCCTGAGAGTCTCTAAATGTTCTCTTTTGAGAAAGAAGTTAGAGAAAGAAGGGATGAATGAGCATATGGAAAATGAGTGTGAGGAAGACAGAATCATATACAGCAACATTAACCACTGACTTACCACTTTGCTAAATTTTAGAGCTCAGCAATCTGAGACTGGCACGGGAGAATTATTCATTAATTGTGTGACTCAGACTCAGAGCGAGCTAGGTGTTTGAAGAACACTCTTGGGGTCCTGGTGTGGGCATTTAAGATTTCATATATGATTTATTCACTGGCTTAGACATGGCCAGTCTATGCTGATTAATAGTGTTGGCTAACTCTGAAAGTCAACTCACTTCTATTGTTTTTTTTTTCTTCCTGTTTTTGCAGAAGATAGATGAAGAAAATGAGGCAAACTTGCTAGCAGTCCTCACAGAGACACTCGACAGTCTCCCTGTGGATGAAGACGGATTGCCCTCATTTGATGCGCTGACAGATGGAGACGTGACCACTGACAACGAGGCCAGTCCTTCCTCCATGCCTGACGGCACCCCTCCGCCTCAGGAGGCAGAAGAGCCATCTCTAGTAAGAACCCTTCCTACTCTTTAGCCCGAAATGGAGTTGCCTCTGGCTACCCGCTACGTGGGTATGGTGTAGTAGCAATAAGGTTTGGAGTTTTGATTCAGACTGATGCCAAAACTTTTCCCCAAGCACACTTAGAGTTGCAAATCCTGTGATTCTCTGTATAGAAATATTATAAATATAAAATAGAGTTCGGTGTTACCTCATGTTGAAAGCTTTTGTTGTTTATGTGTGGTGCTTCTATTTCTTGGTATTACTTCTGTTCATGGTGAAAATTTAGAAAAATTAGACAACTAAAAGAGACTAAAAATTTACCTGTGATTTCCAAAAACGTCTAGTATAGAATGATCAAAGTCTTCTCCTTTTTATTTAAAGTAGATCATGAACATGAAGGTGAAATTTTAGCTATATACATAATTTTTAGTAGTTGAACAGAATAAAATTTTATTGTAAGGAAATATTGTGATTTGTTAAGCAATCTTTATGTTTGGATAGGTGGGTTTTTTTCCCTCCTGTTTTTCACTAACACAACCTGTATAATAATTGACATGTTTGCATTTTTATCTTATGCATACAATTCTATAAATAGAATCAACAGATAAAGGACTATGCAATATTTTAAAACTTTGGATCCTGGGCCCATATTTCTTATGACGATTGAAAGATAATAGCACATTTGCAAGCTAAGTAACTTAAATTAATGGTAGGCAATGAAGAGTGAATTTGTTGGCAATAAAGAGTGAAATTTCTTCTCAACACAGTGCTTGACCGAATTCTATTAGTTCTAAGACACAGTTTGCCTTCACATCTATGGTAACCATTTGTCATTTACCATAAGTCTGACGTAGGAACATGCTGTGAAAATTATAGAATCCCTTCATCCAGACTTTGATAATGTGCTTTGACATGCCATTTAAAGGTTGTTTCTCTCATATCTGTAAGCTTTTAAATGTTAAAATAATACCATGTAGATATACAGAGACTTTAGTTGTATTCTTTTGTATTTTGAGATTTCTGGTCTTCTGGAGAATATATCAGAAGTAATTGCTTCTTATTTATTCTCAATTTGTCAGTATCATTTGCTTAGTGCGCTGATTTTTTTATGTTAATATCTGATGATTTTCATTTGCACCATTTGTTCAATTGGGAGGGTTCTCTTTGACTCAAAGACATCTGGCATGTCATGGCAGGGAGGTCCTTAAGAGTCATTTAGACAAATGAAGAAAGAGGTCAAAAAATAATAAATGCTTTGACCACATTTAAGTAACAGGCTAAGCTGCAGCACTCTAAATGCTTTCTTTCCTTTCTGAAATCAGTGATAGCCACTGCTTTCTCCTATACATTGTTTGAATCAGTAAATTTGTGTATTCCATATGTGAATCACAGTTCAAAGCATTATGGAGTTTTGCATTTATTAACACTTGACTCATTTTGGTTTTAGAAGGGGAAATGAGTATCTGGTCTTGTCCTCAACTCATTTAGCAAGGGAGCATTTTTTAACTCGTGCAGTAGTGATTTGGAAGTCATTTTAAAAATAATTGCTTTATTTTGTCTAAAACAAATTTTCAAATATTAAGAGTAATGATGCAAGTCTCAAATGTAGGAAAAGTAGTTTCGTAGTAATGCTAAACTTGTTCTTACCATTAAAAATATGTTTCCTTTAGCACTAACATGGTAAGGTGTGATATAATTAAATAGTGGCAAAATTAATGTTATCATTATAATTAGTTAATTTAAGTTTAAAATTTCAATGATATAGTCTAATGCTTAGGCAATGTATAACTTGTCTCTCTTTCTTCTTTGCTGATGTATTTCTAGCTTAAGAAGCTCTTACTGGCACCGGCAAATACTCAGCTGAGTTATAATGAATGCAGTGGTCTCAGTACCCAGAACCATGCAAACCACAATCACAGGATCAGAACAAACTCTGCAGTTGTTAAGGTACAAACATCAGTGTTTTAATGTGGGAGGACAGTAACAAAGGGCTTTTGCTTGAAGCTATAAAGCAGATGAAAGATATCTAGGTATTAATTCAACTGGAATACTGCAGCTACCTCTTATTGGTGGGACAGGTTGTGAAATGGGTTTCCAAAAGGAGCACTTGAACTTCTTGAAAATAGAGACGGTTTATGTTTGATCTTTGAGTAATTGCAGTGGAAGTGCAACTGGGTTCAGTTCTTGGCCCGCTTGCTTAATACTGTGCAGTAGCGTGGGTTACAATAGAATGGGCTGATAGTCTGGTCTTATCTATGAATGACTTTAAGATGCAGGATGGCTGTTTTGCCAGCTGTCTAACCTAAGAAAGATTGCTTTGGAATCACTGCAAAAGATCTGTCTCTGCCATTAATTGGATAGAATGCTGGCAATGACATAATTCGGTTAGCAAGCTGTATTAAACAATGTTTGTCTTGCCATTCACTGTGAGTGAAAACGGAGCGTTAAGGGGTACTTAAGAGAGTTGTGAATACTGGGCTTCAGCAATCAGTGGTAAATTAAGGTTTAAACCAGCTTATTTTTTTTTTATTCACAGTAAAGGCGCTGTAGGGTCTTGTTAGTTACATGTTGCTGAGTAGGAACATTGAAATGTAGGAGAAATGAAATAAAAAGCTGCATAAATGTCATTTAGGAATTTTAAATGTAATTTTCTTTCCTTGTTCTGCAAACAATTATTCACAGCTCATAGATCTAGTACACTTAGACTGAACACTTCACTGAAAATCTCATCTCTTCAGAAAACCTATATCCATTCTGATAAGGTTCAGTTCACTAATTTTAGCTTTCTTTGTGCTTTGTTCGTAAGACTGAGAATTCATGGAGCAATAAAGCGAAGAGCATTTGTCAACAGCAAAAGCCACAAAGACGTCCCTGCTCAGAGCTTCTCAAGTATCTGACCACAAATGATGACCCTCCTCACACCAAACCCACAGAGAACAGGAACAGCAGCAGAGACAAATGCACTTCCAAAAAGAAGTCCCACACACAGTCGCAGTCCCAACATGTACAAGGTAAATTGGGGACCAGAATTCTGATGGTGCAGTGGTGAAGCACGCACAGTCCACCCCGTTGGTGTCTGTCTGTGGAAGGAGAGTTCAGCACACTTTGTTATGGAGGGGAGAATTCTTGGACGCAGTTTGAATATATCCTATTCACCTGATGGGAGGTTAAATCACAACCTCAGAGAGACACCTGAAGTGTTATCTGGTCAGAGGGTGGCTTGGGGTGGGAAAGGATTTCAACATCCTTGAGGTTTGTAGGAATGCCTGAACGGCTGAGAGCATTGAAGTTATGGGCAAGTTGGGCTAGCCAATTCATTAAACAGGTTTTACTTTTCCCCTTCCAGTAATGGAAAAATGAGGCACCATAGATTTTTTTCTCTATACCTTAAGAAGTAGTAAATACCATTTATGCAGCCACTCCTATTAAGGGAATTCCTTTTTTTTTTTTTTATGACATGTATTAAGAAGTAGTAAATACCATTTATGCAGCCACTCCTATTAAGGGAATTCCTTTTTTTTTTTTTTAAATGACATGTATGCTTACACCCTTTTTTATTTTGTATGTAAGGATTTGGAAATTCCTGAAGTTTTTGCTCTTTCTATTAAAAAATATTATCTAGATTCAAGGAAACATCTGGGTTGATTTTTATTATTCCCATATATTGCTAGAAGGCTGGTGCTTCTGAAGCAGATTGGGGAGATGTAAAGGAAATATCTCTTGGCAAAGTCCTAATTTTATTTTTTTGGCTCATCTTCCTCAAAATGTTGTAGTCTAGGGGGTCCAAAGAGTGCTTGTTGATAGTAACTGTTGCTTTAAAATACACCGGCTTCCACTTTCTACCTGAAACACTGTGTTGGAAGGAGGGGTATTCTAAAATAGCAATTATAAACATCCACTTGTGATTTTTTTTCCTTTTGTTTCTCCAACTGCTCCTTCTAGGTACAGAGTGGTAGCCCCTGACCCCTCTTTTGAACCACAGGTATGCTGTTGTTGCTGCTGCTTTTAATAATTTTCTTTCCCAGTGTTTTGAATACCCCTCACTCGTGTCTCTCACCATTAGCATAGGATTTGAGGGATCTTTCCTTTAAAATTTTAAATTTGCCTTCAACTAGGCTTTCCCTGGTGGATATGTCCAATTCATTATCCATCTCTTTATGGCAGTTTGGGAAGATGTATTTAGCAAAATGGGCCAAATTGCCTTTGACCATATTAGTTCCCTTGCCCATATGAAAACTTTGTTACAGTTTTTGTTTTTTGGGGCACCCTCATGCTGGGGTACTCATGATATTGAAGGCTTCAGGTAAAGGGCATCTTTCTGGACTTGCTCTAGAAATTACTAGGCTTTTATTTACTTCCCCTGGGCCATATGTTCATTTTTTGGCTCTGAATTTAAAATCCTGAGATGCATAACACTGTGATCAGGGGACCTAGCCCAGCAGCACATAGTCTAAACCTCTGTATTTGAGGGGTGTACTTTTTGTATTTTGAGGTTTTCTAAAAGTCTACTTACTGTTAAACATTACTGTAATGTAAATCATGGCAGTGAAAACTTAAATAGGACCCCGGAGGATATATTCTCTAAGCAAGACCAGCTACATGCGGAATTTTTTTTAAAGGGTTTATATCTATGGCAAGACATAGAAAGCTTTCTCCTAGAACAGAACTGTTGATTAAAGGAAAAAAAGAAACTGTATAGTTATTAAGGCCTAAAAAATGAAACATGGCTATTAAAAGCCAATAAGTGCTCAACTATAGATTGTGTAAGCTATTATTCAAAATCAGAAAGTAGAAAGTATATGAACAGAGATGATAAGGAAGAGGGTGATGTTCTGAAGTTTCCTTTCTTAGTGTGCTGTAATTTGTCCTCACTGAATTTCATGTGTGCTTTTTGTAATATTGTGGGGTCACATGCTTTTCAATTCTTTTGGATACTTTGGGGATATTTTGGTATTCCATTAATTTATTCATTCATTTCTTAATGCATTTATCTAAAACTAATATGATCTGATGAAAAAGATAAAATTTCTGACCTCAAGGATCCCAGCAGTTTGTCTTTGGTCAACAAGTTCATTAAATTCGCAGTAACCCAAGTCAATGTTCTTCCAGTGGAAACGTGCGTTAACCTGAGTTTATTCAGGAATTAGGTGCTGAATGTGGTTTGGGGGCTGCATCCTTCCTATGGCTCTCATTTCCTGTTTGCCTTTGATGCCATTAAATAAGGCTGCTGAGGATTCCTCTTCTTCCATCACTCTTGGCCTCACCTGTTCCCAACTATCAGAATGTTGGGGGTCTTCTTTCAGCTTTTCAGAGATTGCTCTATATCTTGAAAACTGGACTTTTCTTTTCTGATTCTTTTTCTCTCTCTCTCTCTCTCTCTCTCTCTCTCTCTCTCTTTCTCATTCCTTCTTTTTTTTCCAGTTATAGTGATTGAACCCAAGGCCTTTACACTGACATACATCCCTAGTTCTTTTCAGTTTTTTAAAAATTTTGGGTCTGGGTTTAAAAAATTCTAAATTGCCCAGTCTGGGTTTAAACTTGTAATCCTGCCTTAGCCTCCTGGAGTACATAGATTAAAAACATAAGCTACCATGCCTGACTATTCAGCTTTTGATTTTCAGTGTACATTTATCCTGTGAAATAGCACTTAGTTCCATATCTGGTTCTATTTTCTATAGAACCTTTATGAATTATAGTAATTATTAGTTGAACACCACAAACGTGGGTAAAGTTCCTTCATAAATGCATTCTTGTTGAAAGGCTCATTAAATTAGATGCTCCCAAAAATTAATGTAAAATCAGCTCATTTATCTGTATGTATGTAAAAGCCAATTAATCAATGTACCTAATTTGTAGGAGACAGCATGAGCTTCATATTTCTGGATGCACATTGGATAGATGATATACCATTCAATTGTTTAAAAACTAAACCTAAACCTACGAATGAAATATGTAAATAGTATTTATCCAAGTAAAGTACTTAATTTCAGACTAATTTGGATATAAATAATATTTTCACATTTCAGAGGACCTTAATTACTGAGGATGATTAATTTACTTTAAAGTCTGTTAAATATAATTTCTTTTGATAATGGGAGAAAGGAAACATCATCTTGGCCAACTCTCTATATAGCAAGTTTTATGACCCTGCAAACATCATTTACCATCTTTAGGTTTCGTTTCTTTGTCCATAAAATTGGAAAGTTTATTCTAAAGACCCTTTTGGTTTCAACTCTATAATTTTTAATACATAAATAATTAACTTTTGATCTTCTCAAAGTGGTTATTTAATGAGAGAAAACTTGACATATATACATATATCTCTATAGATAAGCATAGACCTGTATACATATATTATGTGTATGTATATACCTCAAGTATGTTTCTGATCAGTTACTGCTGTTTACTGTTCAATTTTGCATTTACAAAATTGAAAAGAAGAAGTAATTGAAATATTGGAGTGAGAAGATTTGGATTCCCCCTTCATTATTGGAATGCTTCTCCTATAGGAAGTAAGATTTAGGAGAGGCTAAAAGGAAATAGTGAGCTCTTTCTACAAGTCTGTAGATTTTTCAACTGAAAAATTTAGTGTCTTACTTTAATTATCCAGCAGATTTGGGACTTGAATTCCATTTAATCCATCTGGGTCAATGTTCACAATTTGCTACGATCTCTCCATTAATTTTCAGAGAATACAATGGTTATTGCTTGAGCTTTGGCCTCACAGAAATAACCTATTTTCTGGGCTACATATAAAATTATACATTTTAGGAGTAAACTCAACTGAATATTCATAACGTTCTGTTGCCTTATAGTTACTCAGCTGTTTTTTTTTTTTTTTTTTTTTTTTTTTTTTTTTTTTTTTTTTTTTTTTTTTTTTTTGTCTAAACAAACCATGTACTGTATTGCAAATTAAAAGAGAAAACATTATTTTTCTCTGATGGTATGATGAAAATTTTGCATCCTTAACAGGATGGTACATTTTTAGGAAAATTCTGTTTTTTGTATGCATTTTCAAATGATAGTTTACTGACACAAATGTTGTTTGGAATTTCTTTTAGCACAATGGACTGTTATCTGACTTTGATCCAATATTCAGGGATTTCCTTAGTTTAGTCTTCCAGTTCTCCGATCCTGTTTCCAATTTGACTATAGTAGAAAGACCACTCAATATTTCATAATTAGTTTCTTTTTTTTCCCTTTAGCCAAACCAACAACTTTATCTCTTCCTCTGACCCCAGAGTCACCAAAGTAAGTATTAAGAAATGCAACCATTTTCAGGAAGGGAAGGGGGTTCTAGTACATTTGGCTACAGCAACTCCATTTCAGTTTGTTTTTATAAATGTGCCATATCTTCCAGTGATCCCAAGGGTTCCCCATTTGAGAACAAGACTATTGAACGAACCTTAAGTGTGGAGCTCTCTGGAACTGCAGGTAAGCCTTACAAGTCATGTAGAACTTCTGTGTGTGTGTGTGTGTGTGTGTGTGTGTGTGTGTGTGTGTGTGAAATGGATGCTAGATAACAGAGGGTGATCAATGGAATAAATGAAGAGAGCAAACCACTGGATAAGAAGTTATCTGTAAATATTTTCAGTTGTATACTTTAAAAATACTGAATTAAAAATAATTTTTTAAAGAGAAGACATTTCTTGTGTGTCACAGCTGGGTCAGACCTTCTGATACATATATTTTTGTTTTGGATCCTCAGAGAACCCTATTTTGGTTTAAAACACCAAACCTTGTAAGGGAAGAAATGATCACTTTTCATCTTCCACTCAAAAAAATGTACCAAGCATGTAAGTGGTTTCAGTTAATTTTATAGCAACCTCATGATGATGTTGGTTGCTTATTTATTTATTTATTTATTTTCATTTTAAAAACAAATATATAAAGTTATTAAGTAGCTTGCATAAGATCATCATGCTGGAAAGCAAGGAAACAAATGTTTGAATTCAGGATTACTAATTATCATTGCTCCACTTGGGATATTTTTTTCACTCTCTGTCATATTTAATAGCATAATGCTATCCTATATATGTCATTATTTTTGTATCTTTCCAGCAAAGGAGAAACCTGAAAACAATGTCCATTCATCAAAACAAAATGCTTATATATGTTGTGAACAAGAATAATTTCCTTCATCATTTGGGACTTCTGAACTCCTTTAGCCACATGAGGAAAAAGGAGCTTTAAAAATGTGGACTAATTGAAGAGTTCCTAGGCAAACTTCTGAGTTGGTTGTAAATGGTACTTTTGTACCAAGTGGTTTAGTTTTAGGTATATGACCTCCAGGAGAAAGTCACTCTCAAAATGTCTGAACAAGAAATTCCTTGGCTCTGGCCATTCCTGAATAAAGGAACAGTAAGTTAGACAAAGGTGCTTTCAACCAGAACTATGGTGGCAATCATTGCCACCAAGTTTAATTTCTCACTTGGAGTTTACTCAGGTAGCTTCTTATGAAGGGTCAACTGCATGACTGCATGATTTCGTCAAGTGGTAGAGTCGTCCATTGTACGGTGCATAAATAGTGTGTGCACCTGCAGACTCTCACAGACATGTGTGCACACACAAGTATCTTTATGTATATACACATATATACCCATATTCACTTTTCAGCATATGTATGACATGATTTCTTAAATAAATTATAACTTTCATATATGAGCAGAGGTCACTTTTGTATGAACTCATATGCAATAGAGGCTGTATTTGACCAGAAAGGTCTAGTAATTAGTGAATTTAAAAAGTTGATTCAGGCACATATACAATTTATTACTTTTCTTTTGCTTAAAACATATAAATATACACTCAAATATCACAATTTTGGCAGGAGACAGTCTATCTTCACTTTTAATGTGGTTTCAGGAATCGACATCATTTTTTGCCCAAATAATACTAATAATATATTATAGATGGGATCCGCTTCTTGTTTATTATTATTATTGTTGTTGTTGTTGTTTATTTAAAGGAAGAAAATTAAAAATATTTGTATGGCAGTCTGAGTGCAAAGTCTGTCTACTAAATTTTTATGTTTTTTCTCCAGTGTTTTGTAATATCATCCTCCACAAAGAATGTGACAGTATTTCTTTTAGAAACTTACCTTTATTGTATCTTTTTATATAGAAATTTTCATACTCATGTTTCATAGATTTACACAGTATTTGACCATCTTATATGGCGCCAATCACCATTGCAATGAACAGTAACTTGTTTGAGAAAATACAGCACAGTGCCTCTTGCTAACAAGTCCACTGGAAAGGATCTGGTGGCTAGGAGGGTTCAGAGGCTCCTGGGTCTGAGTTCATTACTGTTTCAGAGTGGAGGAAAGAACTTCCACTGCCTGTACCAATGCCAACTTTTCCATTCAAGAACACCATTGACTATTTTCTGATTATAAATATTATAGGCTTACTTCAAAAATGCCAAAGTATAAAGCAGTTAAAAAGTTATTCCTAGTTCTAAGATATAAAGATATTCATAGCATTGTTTTCATCTATAGTTTTAAATAACTCTGGATTATTCTGCATACATATGAGTACATATATAATTTTGGATCATAATTTTTAAATTAACATTTTAATAAGGAATTTTTGTATCATTTCAGACTCTTTATTAGCAGGTTGTTAGAGTACTGTGTAATATTAGTTGGCATAGGTATAACAAAATTTATTTAATCATACTCCTATTGTGTTATGTCTAGATTGCTTTATAATGTTACTATTTTGAATTAACAGTACAGTGGAAATCTTTCTTCATATATTATCTTACCTTGTTTTCTCAAAATAGATTCCTAAGAGTTGTTGATGCCAAAAATAAGGGTATAAATACCTAGAGGGTTCTGCTGTATATGTTGAGACATTGCTCTCAAAAAACGATCTCTTTATAGTACTATTAGCACTAAATGGGCACCTTTCCTTTCTGTATCTTTGGTAACATGAGTATCTATACTTTTTTATTGAGTTTATTGGTACATTTTAGGTACACAGTATAGTTACTTTCATGATTGGGATCTTGTACCTTTACATGACAGGTCTTGGTTCTCATTTTTTCCCCTTGTCCCTGCCCTCCCTTCACCCCCTTCTCCCCTCCCCATTTACAAACACTTTATTTCCATTTTTTCATTTTGTCATATTTTTTCATTTTCCTTTTACCTTTCCCCGACCCTTCCCACTTTCCCTACACCTTTAGCCCTTTTCTTCCTATTTCGCATTGTCAATTATCTCATTAGGATCCTATGCACTATTATAATTTTTCACACCAGAGAAACTATTTGGTATTTGCACATATGTGACTTATGTATTTCACTTAGGAGTGTATCCTCAATATGTATCCATTTTCCTACGAATGAATCTAATTTCTTATTCTTCATGGCTGAGTAGTATTCCATTTTATAGAAAAACTACATCTTCTTTATCCAGTCTCTAACTGATGGGCAAATGGGCTGTTTCCAAATTTTACCTATTATAAACTGTGCCACTCTAAACATGGGCATACATATATCACTGTGGTATGATTCTTTTAATTCTTTTGGAAAGATACCCAGCCGAGGGATGGCTGGGTGTGTATATTTTAAAAGTGGAGATTTAAAGCATTTTTAAAGTGCTTTTGTAATTTATAACCATGTACATGTTATTTAATTTGTAGTTCTTCTACTGATGAGATTATGGTGTTATAAAGAATCACTTATTTTCATATTTACTCATGGGAGAATTTTAAATATATCTTCTGATTGGCATTATTTGTTTGTTTGTTTGCTTATTTATTTTTGCTTATTTAGGGGGTTTGTGGCAGAAAACACAGGTCCTGGCACGTGCTAGGCGAGTGCCCTGTCATTGAACTTTATCTTCAGTCCATAGATTTAATTTGAAATAATTTACTTATAAGTTTTTACAGGTTGATAGCCTACTATATTGAAAAGCAAGTAGATATTTACAAAGAAGCATTTGTTAACACTAAGAATCTTTAAAATTTCTGCTCTGGATTTACTTCTGTCAGTGAGTCAATATTCATCTTACTAAAATATTTTATTCTAAGTACTATTGAAAGATTATTGGACACATTAAAATTTTATCAACATATTTTAATACTGGCTCTGTGCTGGCAATACTTTAGGTCTTGGATAGGGTACAAAAAATGTAAGACATACCGATTAATCTATAGAGCAGGGAGCCCAGTTCTTGGCTATGTGTAGTTGGTGCTACATAAATATTTTCACATTCAAGACATCTGCTTATAATCTGTTGGGAAAAGAACACATTAAAAAGTAGCATGAAAAGAAAACAGTATTCATTGTATGTATGGTTTTGTCATCCAAAAAAGGATGGGCATAGAGGGTGGTTTTGGTTTATTGTGCACAGAGGTAATGACTGATGGTTTAATGTGCGGAAGTTGAGGTACAGCGACACTGAATTACTTCATAGGAGGATCTTAGAACTGCAGGAAAACAAATAGATGAAAAGGAACTTGGAGGATGTTGAAGAGGTCTGGAAGGTGAAGTTTGGAAACTGGAGGGAGGATAATATAAGGAAGAGATGAGGACGGATGATTATTTTTTGATAGACATTCGGTGTGCATTACTCTGCAATGTATGATGTGTATGTCTTCATCGCCTCTAAGATCGTCAGTAATATGTGCTCCTTGATTGTAGAAGATATGACAAACACTGATTGTACTTCAGGAGAATCACAATGTTAAAGACCAGGCGAAAGGGACTGAAAGAAGCATGAAGGTGATACAGTTGTCCTAGTGAATACCATAGGTAATTAATGGAAAGGAGTTTTTAGGAAACTGAACTCTGGATAGGCCAATCTGCTTTGGTAAGTCTTAAGGGAGGAAAATACCTGATTTTGAAAAGCAGAGAAGCTATTTATGTAAGGAGAGAAGCAAGAAGGCAGGAAACCAAAAAGATCCTCAGATGACAATGACCTTGGCATGGATAATTAAATCAATAGGGGACTACAGGATGGAATGCACACTTCATCCTCCCTCACTCTTTTGATTGCTGAGTCTTTTCTGTATCCTTGAATTTTTTCTAAACCTTAGTTTTCTGAATTCCAAGGCCTTATTTTTAACTAACAAATGAAATTACTGCCTGACTTAGAGGCAGAATATAGATTTGCATATAATATTGCCAATAATCTACAACTTTTACGTAGCAAATGGCAATTTTTTGTGGTTCATCCTGAATTAAAACACTTTATGAGCAGCAAAGTTCCAAATGAAAAGTATGCTTTTATGACTTTTTAAGAGTAAACAGCATAGCTGAGTAAGTCTGTAGACTACCTTGCTTTTATGCTTGACAAATCCAAGTTCAAAATATGGATCTATCCTCATCTAGCACATGGCCTTGATGAATATACTCAACCTCTCTGAGAGTTAAGATCCTTATAATCGCAGTACTTGTATTTCTCTAGGTCACTGCAAGGATAAAATGA